GGAATGGTTGAGGGGAGGTACAGTCGGAGGAAGTGGTTGTTTTTATCCTGTGACAACTAGATGTGATACGTGGAATGGTTGAGGGGAGGTAGTCGGAGGAAGTGGTTGTTTTTATCCTGTGAGAACTAGATGTGATATGTGGAATGGTTGAGGGGAGGTACAGTCGGAGGAAGTGGTTGTTTTTATCCTGTGAGAACTGGATGTGATACGTGGAATGGTTGAGGGGAGGTACAGTCGGAGGAAATGAGAAGATATAAGTCTAAGGCACAATCACATTCACCACAAGTTGACACACACAGATGGGTGAAGTATCTAGGATGGGTTCTAATGTCACAAGTTGACAGACAAAGAGTTAGGTGAAGTTTCTAGACTGGAGTCTAATGTATAAAAAGGTAATTGTTGCACTTATTTTCAAAACTAGAAGTAACGAAAACATCAACAAGAAAATTAACATTATCAAAACAAAAACAATACTTGAAAACAACCTCTTACTACCCTTCTCTGACAATTCTGTAACCACTAAAATGCACTCACTATAGATACTGAGGTGCTATTTTCATTTTGCTAGAACATTTGGGCGTTTATAGTAATATTTGAAACATCTAATTCTCTTCTATTATAATTTGAAAAGACTCCGACAACCAGTCTTATAACAATTCAGACAAAAACACAGAGTGACACTTGACATGCAATTATGGCGGGAGATTTAATTAAAAAAAAATGATAAAGTAAAATGATAAAATATGACATAAGTATATTATTGACTCCAAGATCAAGAATGTGCAACATGCAATGATAATTGTAAACATGATTAGTTGTCAAGGAAATATTTGCAAAATATACAATCAGAATAATGGCTATAATGTGAAGCAACTGCAATTTGTTTGGTAAAAATAGATTTTGTAGAATATCATGTTTAAACATGTCGTCATGGTAACACATTGAGATCACAAGAAAAGTGTATAACCAAGAGGCAAATTAAAAGTATGTAGGCCACTGACATCTTTAGTATACCAAGTGGAATGCATGTGAGATCAAACACATAAACTAGACAATATGAGTAGAAAAATAAGTGTGTTCTACCAGAGAGAAATATGGAATTTACACAGGCACAATAATAAGATGATTTACACAAGCAGTCTAAATATGCTACTTACAAATTCATACTTTTACTTACAATGCCATTTTTATGATGTGAAGAAACAAAAGTGTTCTTGTCAAAGCACAACTATTTACATTGTCTCCTTGTCTATTTCAAAAGACAATCAAATCAATTACATATGTTACATATTGGCAATTTCACATGTGTAGATTAAGACCTGTCCAATCATTTGGGATTAACTATCTTAAACCAGCAAAAACAGTTTCTCTGAAAACATTCACAACCATAACTTTATACATACTTGCATCACAGATTGTTTTTTTTCCAAGAAGACTGAATGAAAAGATATCTACATAAGGTTACATGAAATAGATTATTTTGAATGAAAAAATAGATTCAAAATTGAATAGGGGATATACATGGGTTTCGTATCTAAAGATTAGATACATTTGTAAGATAAGATAAGATAGAGAATTGATGAATTGCATATTCAGTTCCTGTGTTCCTAGCTGTTAGTATACATGAGCAAAACCACATGACTCATTATGTGTGAGTTGCTATGACTGTAAAATGGGATACAGAATTTTCAATGCACAGATTTCAAGTGAAGTGAAACATATGGGATGGGCTAAATCTTTGATGTCATAACGAAGATACACTCTGGAATGTATATACATGATATGCACCCACTGAGAACCAACAGAAATACAAGAAGGACTTGTGAAAAGTTATTGTCACACATATTCAAACCATTAAATCAGCCAATTATCTACAGTATTTACAGTTGATATCAAAATTGACACTCCAATAATTTAATCGGAATCTGCATGATGTATCTATACAACATTTTACAGAGAATTTCTTTTCATTCAGAATGGAGGACTAATTACTTGAAGATGTAGTCATACTAATATCATATCATACTGCTGTGGAATCGTCATTTTTAGCTTATTTCAAATGTAAAATAAATCTTACCTAGATGTACTCTCTGGATTTTCAAAATAGAATTAAATACAACAGTATTCTATCAAATGATGAGTAGGATATTCGAAATATATGTAAATTGATTTTGGCAAGTGAAATCATTGCAGTGTTAGTAAAGCTTCCAGACCATACACTTATCTTAAATTTTAAAATGAATAGGTGTGTGTGCGCTGCAGTCTGATTGGTTGACAAATGTTGTTAAATGGGGTTTGAAACCTGATAATCTGGGCTAGTCACTGTGTAGGAGTACTTTTCATGAGTATCATGTCTCAATTATGAAAACGCACTTCTTGGCATGTGAGCAAGTTAATGTCGGGTTTGATTAACGCATGTCCAAGCACAATATATTCCAACTTAGTTGATTTTTGCTTGCCCTCTGCCACGATGTATTCATTTGTCCAGGAAGCATACATCATCCACTGTATCATGATGTCATAGTATTCAGTAATGACACCATATATGTCTAACAGCTATTTGAGTACACACAGAAAGAGTGTGGGAGAAATTATTGATCACATCATGTGTCTTGAGAAAATGCAGGTTTCATTGAGAATTCCATGCCTGGAAATGAAAAAATGAAAAATATAATTTCCGGGCATTGAATACTCAAAAATGCCTAAAAAATCTCAAAACATGATGTTGATCTCCTCATTCATTAGGCCATTTTAGTAACATTTTAAATCAAACTTTCTTGCTACCATGTTTTAGTAAATATGTAAATATTTTATTGTCAGTGATCGATTTGGTTGAAACACTGATAAAACTTAAGACTTTTTTGATGATACTGCTGCATTTCTGGTAGTATATCCATTGTATACACATTATTATTCTGGCTCAGTACACTTATGAAGATTAAATACAGATTTATTTAGAAGTGTGTCAGTGGGCTCTTATTGGAGCGGGGTGCTTAATGTGGCATATCCTACATGAATTCCATACAATATTCACTTCTTCCCTGCTTTGCTGCAACATAACACTACGCACGACTGACTGCTGCTGTTTTTATGATAAAGTTACTATTAACTATTCAGTAGTCCTAATGTCAACGTTGAAAAAGAAAAAGATAAAAACAATAATCTTTAGAATTATTTTTCTAGCACTGTGTGACCTTTAGGAATAGGACGGACGTATCATTTATTATACATGTCAGCCAGCTAGAATTGTTATGAGGCACTCATTCAACCGCTGTTTCCAAGACATCAACACCACAAGCCACTCAGGGCAATAGCATGATAAATGTTTTTAAAGCTAACAGTCTGAAAGGAATTTGTCCAGACCTTTGGCAAATATTATAAGTAGTTTGAAATAATTTCTGAATGTTCCATGTTTATTAAATAACTTAAATGTTATTTCTTATTTGAATCATTAAAAGAATTCTTGAAATCAATTCCGACAGCCTCTGTGTCTTAACTTGTCACACACAGAAACTCATGATGTTGAAGACTGGCAGATTCTGATATGATTCTGTGTCCCTTATGGAATGTTCTATCTCATTAAAATCAGATCTAAGTTCTCACTTCCACTGACCCATGAAGATCCGGGGTAGAATAGGTCTTCAGCAACCCATGTTTGTCTTAAATGGTGAATATACTTGCCGTCAGAGGCGACTAACGGGATCGGGTGGTCAGGCTCGCTGACTTGGTTGATGCATGTCATTGATCCCAATTGCGTGGATCGATGCTCATAATATCAATCAATGGATTGTCTGGTCCAGACTCAATTATTTACAGACCGCCGCCATATAGCTGGAATATTGCTGAGTGTGGCGTTAAACAACAAACCAACCAACCAACTCACTTCCACTAAACAAAGATCTGCGGACATCTCATTACGGGTTACATCAAAACGAGCCTTCGCAAACTTTGACTTACCACTGGAATGACTAACAAGAAGCCTACTTCAGCCAATTAGAAAGCAGCTTTCTCGAGCTTTAGGACACTCGTTTCAACCTGGTGACTTCCATTACAGACTATGCTTGAAAAATATGTTGCCACAGTTCTCGATTAAAATTTTGAAAGCTGAACAAATGAACATTCCGGAATGTCTAATTCATGGTTGAGATTTTATGGCAGTGCTTCCCACATACTGTGCAACGCCTCTTCCGTTCAAATGTTCATCCCATGACAGCGAGGGATAGGCGATAATTTGGATGGAATCGGTCGGACTGGCCTTAACTGTTGTTAGGAATATCCCATGATAACGTTTTCGAGGTTGCATGATTAGAAAACACATTCCGACTGTCACTTTCATGATCTGGTAAGAGATGCTTTGATTGGTCGGATGAAAGGTCGTTCTGACGTGACCCGTAATGGGATGTCCTCAGATCTTTGTTTAGCGATAGCGAGAACTAAGATCTGATTTTAATGAGATTGTGGAATGTTAGAACATTGGAAACAGTATTTCAGTACAATAATCTCTCAGATGTAAAACATTGTAAACATTTGTAGTGATGAATACAGTGTATACAGACTATATAGTGTATAGAAGTGTACGGACTGTCAGTTGGCAATATTTGTTTGTTTATCTGGTGATTGCAGTGGGACCTGTCTGAGTTAGTGAGGTGGACTTTGTGTCAACTTCAGCAATTTTTCAAAAATGTAGGGGACCGGTCATTTATCATAGGGTTGGGTGGGTCAGAAACAATCAGGGTAGGGGTGGGTGGGTCAGAGGGAATCAGGGTAGGGGTGGGTGGGTCAGAGGGAATCAGGGTAGGGATGGGTGGGTCAGAGGGAATCAGGGTAGGGGTGGGTGGGTCAGAGGGAATCAGGGTAAGGGTGGGTGGGTCAGAGGGAATCAGGGTAGGGGTGGGTGGGTCAGAAACAATCAGGGCAGGGGTGGGTGGGTCAGAGGGAATCAGGGCAGGGGTGGGTGGGTCAGAGGGAATCAGGGCAGGGGTGGGTGGGTCAGAGGGAATCAGGGTAGGGTTGGGTGGGTAAAAGGGAATCAGAGTAGCGTCATGACAAAATATGACAGTCCCTAGGGGAGGGTAATAAAATACATATTCATAATGCTTTTACATTTGTCTTTTCAGGGAGGGTCATCCAGAAATATGATAATATGATGAACGTTAAGGAGAGCCATTATTTTCTGTACATTACATTTTATAAAAAAATCCCTGCCCCTTTTTGTGAGAATAAGTAATTAGATAATGTTGTCTACTTGTGTTTATCACAGGGTATTGTTAACACAGTGACTAGTTGGTCTGCATTTACTACAGGGTACAGACTGACTTAGGTTGAAATGTACAAAGTTGAAAGACAATAAACGATCTGCAAGACTTCCAATGGGCCATGCTGATCTCTTGAAGAAACCAACTGCATGAAACCACAAACACAAACTGATCATTTGAAAACATTTACAAAACGTATCACAGATGCTACCTATACAGTACTCATTACTGTGTTGAATTGACCAATACAAATATTCCTTGTATTTTGTTTGGACATACTTAAAGAATGTACTTTACTTATATTCATATTGATATAACTGTTCCTTATTGCAAGTCTCCATGCCATAAGTAAACTGCCATAATATGTCTGTCATACTCCAGTTGAATACATGTTATCTGCTTGCAAACAAAGACTTTGGTGATAAAATATGCTTTCTCTTATCACAGAATAAGACATTAAATATTGACATGATAACAATGAACAAATCTTATGAAACAGATTAAAAAACAAGAAGTCAAACATTTGGTCATGGGGACAAGGCAAAAAATATATTTCTGCCATCTCATAAAATTCAAACTATACAGGAAAATATTCAACAAAAAAGATCGCTCACCATCTTGCTGTTTGTATGGTTGCCATAGCAACAAGGTAATTATCACTGTCTTATGTACATGTACATACTTGCATGTCGCCAATCTGTACCATTCTGTCTTGAATAAAGCACTACATGTATATGACATAGGTATATGGCTGAACCTGTATACAATGGTGCCACCCATTAACATGGCTAGTCTCTATAGGCACGGATGTAGACTGATGGATGTTGGACAATGCCAAACATACTTCCTTTGCATCAGTCTGTTGTGAGATAACAATCCTTTGAAAGATTTATTATATCAGATAATTGTTTGTCCCTCCTCGTGAGAGTTTGTTATACTGTCCAACCTTATAGACATTCTACTGAGTGTCAGTGCCAACACTGTCTGTAACTGACACCTCTCTCACCAACACCGTCTCTCATTGAAACTGTTCCTGATTGACACCGTCACTCACCAACATCGTCTGTCATGGACAGTCTCTCACCAACACCGTCTCTCATTGAAACTGTTCCTGATTGACACCGTCTCTCACCAACATCGTCTCTCATTGAAACTGTTCCTGATTGACACCGTCTCTCACCAACATCGTCCGTCATGGACAGTCTCTCACCAACACCGTCTCTCATTGAAACTGTTCCTGATTGACACCGTCACTCACCAACATCGTCTGTCATGGACAGTCTCTCACCAACACCGTCTCTCATTGAAACTGTTCTTGATTGACACCGTCACTCACCAACATCGTCTGTCATGGACAGTCTCTCACCAACACCGTCTCTCATTGAAACTGTTCTTGATTGACACCGTCACTCACCAACATCATCTGTCATGGACAGTCTCTCACCAACACCGTCTCTCATTGAAACTGTTCTTGATTGACACCGTCTCTCACCAACATCGTCTCTCATTGAAACTGTTCTTGATTGACACCGTCACTCACCAACATCATCTGTCATGGACAGTCTCTCACCAACACCGTCTCTCATTGAAACTGTTCTTGATTGACTCCGTCTCTCACCAACATCGTGTGTCATGGACAGTCTCTCACCAACACTGTCTCTCATTGAAACTGTTCCTGATTGACACCGTCTCTCACCAACATCGTCTGTCATGGACAGTCTCTCACCTACACCGTCTCTCATTGAAACTGTTCCTCACCAACATTGTCTCTCATGGACAGTTTCTCACCTACACTGTCTCTCATGGACAGTCTCTTACCCACACCGACTCTCACTGAAAATGTCCTTCAAGGACATTATTCCTTTTGACACAGTTTCAATCTCTCATGGACAGTGTCTCTCATGGACACTCTCTGGCATCTCTCTCATGGACATTGTCTATTTGACACCATCTCTCATGGACAGTGTCTCTCATGGACACTCTCTGGCATCTCTCTCCCATGGACATTGTCTCTCTGACACCATCTCTCATGGACAGTGTCTCTCATGGACACTCTCTGGCATCTCTCTCTCATGGGCATTGTCTCTCTGACACCATCTCTCATGGACACTCTCTGGCATCTCTCTCATGGACATTGTCTATTTGACACCATCTCTCATGGACAGTGACTCTCATGGACACTCTCTGGCACCTCTCTCCCATGGACATTGTCTCTCTGACACCATCTCTCATGGACACTCTCTGGCATCTCTCTCATGGACATTGTCTATTTGACACCATCTCTCATGGACAGTGACTCTCATGGACACTCTCTGGCACCTCTCTCCCATGGACATTGTCTATTTGACACCATCTCTCATGGACAGTGACTCTCATGGACACTCTCTGGCACCTCTCTCCCATGGACATTGTCTCTCTGACACCATCTCTCATGGACACTCTCTGGCATCTCTCTCATGGACATTGTCTATTTGACACCATCTCTCATGGACAGTGACTCTCATGGACACTCTCTGGCACCTCTCTCCCATGGACATTGTCTCTCTGACACCATCTCTCATTGACACTCTCTGGCACCTTTCTCCCATGGACATTGTCTCTCTGACACCATCTCTCATGGACACTCTCTGGCATCTCTCTCATGGACATTGTCTATTTGACACCATCTCTCATGGACAGTGACTCTCACTGGCATCTCTCTCATGGACATTGTCTCTCATGAACACCATCTCTCATGCACACTGTCATCTCTCTTTCATTGACATTGTTTCTCATTGACACCATCTCTCATGGACATCACTCTCTTCTTGTCAATCAGTATCCATGCAGAGTGCTACATCTAGCTTGCTAGACTGGCTGGAACAATTTTCCAAAAGGTTTCTCTTTTCTGCTTCATGAAAAAGTTAATCTCAGAAATGCTGAACCTTCCATTTTTTCAATATTGAGGTACTCTTCCAAACACTGTCAGGCACCATGGAGGTTTCATATGTACAAAGGCATCACCCAGTCACAACTCTGATGCAGGTTAATCACCTCAGAGGAGAACTAGCAATGAAGCAAAAGATCAGCGTTAATGCTCCGCAGGCTGGGTCAACACATCTTTAATATACCACATGCAGGAACAGAGTCTTCATCCCATATCACATTTTAATGCAGGCAGCTCCACAGAAAGCATCAATGGGAGCAATCAGATGACCCAATGTTCAGTTGTCAGGCTTTCTCCTATGTATTCCTCTTAGTCTACAGATTAGGAATAGGAGAGTAGCTCAAACTCTCTGCTGTTGGCAGGTATATAGGAATAAGAAATTAATTCAATCAATATTTATGTTATTTGGTCTTCAGATCTTCTTATATCTGTTCCTACAATAAAACAATATCAAAACAAAAAAAACAAGTCAATCCAACTCTGTTATCCTGCCAGAAGTTCCATGACAAGATCTGGTACCATGTGGCTGGCATTCGGGATCGGGCTAAGGTTTTGTTTCCGGGCACTTGAGAATGCCGATCTCCAGCAGGACACTGAGGGTGATGAAGACGATGTAGAGAAAAAACATGATACCGCCCAGTGTCCGGCTCATCTTCCACTTGTTGACAGCGATGGTGACAATGACAGCCAGCAGCATGATGAACAAGAGGATTATAGAACACAACAGGCCCTTGCTGCTGACGTTGATGGCAGCACCATTTTGGGTAGCACTCCAAAGCAACCAGGGAATTGGCAATCTGAAATGAAATATACTTGTTCTTAATTCACGTTAACCTCATTGAAACATGAGAGAGAGTTGTTTCCCTTTGTCATGTGACCTCGGAACTAATATTTCTGCCCTTTCAGAAAATACTGCATGAGGGTATCTTTTACAGTATTTGGCTACCCAAATTCTTCATCCAACATTCTAGCTATATGACGGCGGTCTGTAAATATTCAACTCTGGACCAGACAATCCAGTGATTGATACTGTGAGCAACAATCCATGCTGTCAGGGTACAATAACATGCAATCAACCAATTCATCGAGTCTAACCACCTAATCCATTAGGTCGACTCTTACAACTAGCATAGGCTGCTAGGTCCTTGTCTAAACTGGAATCCTAACAGGGGTCACTCTTGTAAAAGCACCAACAGTGTGAGTGATCAGTAAATGTTATTGATAGTGTATTGTAGCATCAATGTTAACTGATATTCTAACTTGTCAAGGACAACTGTGATGTAACAAATGTCATATTTGGGAATATACTTTCTGAATAAAGTACAGATTCTCGTACTCCCATCCGGAATTCGAATCCACACTGCCAGAGAGATGCACTTAATTGCCAGCACACAAAGTCAGCGATCTAACCCACTTTATCACTGAGGCTTCCACAAAAATGAAAGCCCAACAACTGGTAGTATACATCGCATACTTTGTGTACCCCTCTGTCAAGTGTAAATTGGCATGGCTCCCATGGCTGAAAGCTATGAACACAATGCCATTTAGAAGGAAAATTAATAACTGGCATTATGTGTTGACAACTGTGCTGTAAACTATAATGAGATGAATCTTTTCACCTCTGACCATGAATCATCCTGCAAGGACATCCTACATCTGTCGCAAAGAATCAATACTCAATATCTCAAACACGATAACCTAAAAAATTAAACTTTTGGGGACGGATGGTACACTTCAGAAAACAAAGATCAGACCAGAAACAAACTGTGGATTACATGCAAAATCTATCCAAACATCTGTGTGATGAGAGGGAACCTACCCCACAGTGATGTCAAAGATGTTACTCCCGACAGAACTTGAAACGGCCATGTCACCATACCCCTTCTTGGCAACGATGACGCTAGTGATGAGATCCGGGATGCTGGTGCCAGCTGCCAGAAAGGTTAGTCCCATCACCTGCACAGAGGGACAAATTCAGGTCAAGGTCAAACAAATTGATACCATAGTTCTAATGCCAAAGAAAGATATTGTCAAGGTCAAGGCAAGCATCTTCACGCTCAGCTCACATAAACCTTTCCCAGTCCCCATCACAATACCAAAGCACCTGTGACCTCTGACTTGGTTGTAAGTTGATCGTAGTTAACTAGAATATTAATGCTTTGAAACAGGCATAGGATTGTTTTAAAAAGATTAATACATTTTTAGCAATACATTTATGAACGGTATTATTAATGACACAGTATAATCAGTTGGAAAGAGGAAAGTGATTAACAAGACCCAAATGGCAGCAATAGTTGTTGTTAACGTTCATCAACGAAATTGAAGTAGCGATAAGGACACAATAAACTAATGATTAGATTTTCATCCAGGTATGGCAAGAGGGATGTTATTTTCTACATTTTACTGTTTTCCAAAACAAACTATTCAAGGAATCTGTATGAATTAACTGTCAATTGATATGATCCACATAAATGTTTGGTAGGGCTTTGTACATGGTGTATTTAGTTTCATCAAGTGAAGAAAGAAGAGATCACACATAGTGATTTTGTTCGTCTGAAGTACTTATAAACTAAAATAATCTACTGCAGGGAGGGGGATGAAAATGTGCTGATTAATATTTCAGGCCTAAAGCATGTTATTATAAGTCATATTTCCCTGTTGTGTTTTGAGAGAGCCATGAAGCTAATATCCCCAAAGTGTCTGCCTACCTCTGGCGCGATGCCGGCTGTAGTGCCAGTCTCACTGGCCCACCACACCATCAAGTAAGAGAAGACTGCGATCGACAAAATACTCCCAATAAACGTGCACAAAAACCACTTCTTCTTTTCCTGAAAGTAAAGGCATATCTCATGTAATAGTCTCTAAAGGTCTGCTAAAATGCAGTAATTCACTGGTTATACTCACTTCAGTAATTCACTGGGTATAGAGACACTTCAGTAATTCACTGGTTATATTCACTTCAGTAATTCACTGGGTATAGAGACACTTCAGTAATTCACTGAGCATATTCACTTCATCAACTCACTGGGTATAGAGACACTTCATTAATTCACTGGGTATAGAGACACTTCAGTAATTCACTGGGTATAGAGACACTTCAGTAATTCACTGGATATATTCACTTCATTAATTCACTGGGTATAGAGACACTTCATTAATTCACTGGGTATATTCACTTCATTAATTCACTGGGTATAGAGACACTTCATTAATTCACTGGGTATAGAGACACTTCATTAATTCACTGGGTATAGAGACACTTCATTAATTCACTGAACATATTCACTTCATCAACTCACTGGGTATAGAGACACTTCATTAATTCACTGGGTATAGAGACACTTCATTAATTCACTGGGTATAGAGACACTTCAGTAATTCACTGGGTATATTCACTTCATTAATTCACTGGGTATAGAGACACTTCATTAATTCACTGGGTATATTCACTTCATTAATTCACTGGGTATAGAGACACTTCATTAATTCACTGGGTATATTCACTTCATTAATTCACTGGGTATAGAGACACTTCATTAATTCACTGGGTATAGAGACACTTCATTAATTCACTGGGTATAGAGACACTTCAGTAATTCAGAAAATTTCTGATGTACATAAAAAATTTAAAGCCCTTGATTTCAACTGCCACTGCTTAATGACGTCAGTTGAATCTAGAAGTGTTGCCTTAAAGTTGATCCAGTGTCTCAAAAGTGCTTTATAAGGCAACAACATGGTCCTCTTGAGTGGAAATAAACACAAGACAACAAAGTCTACCCTACTTTGCTACTTCATGAAATTAACATGATTGATACGCTACAAATTCATTGCAGTCATGACAAAAGCTTAAGTGATTATTTCTTGAATATATATGAGCAAATACCTATATTGATTACTTATGACACCAGTCCCACCAACTATACTTGAGAAATGCCATTGTCGGCCATATTGCTGTGGCAGCTTCAGTAGACACACACAAGCCCCATTATTGATCTGGTATTGATCGATTGATTTAGAAATGGCCTTAGTTTCCATATCGCCAATTCAATACATAGTTAACAATGTTGCGATATATGTTCAGGACCGGTCGGATGACTGATTAATTCTGTTATATACACTGGGATATATGATTATCAGGAGGTGGTCTATGTTGTCTATTTCATCTCAAGGTTGTTCTTTTCATCAAAATGGGTGATCTTATGTAAGCACCAAGTGTTATGTAACAACAGTTATGTAAATGGAAATATTCATGATCTTGATTATTTGCATAATACTGCTTGGTGGTAACCAGGTATTTGAAGTCTGTAACAAAAACAAACCATTAGGATTCCCTTGTTCCAAACAAACAAATAATGGAGGAGTGAGTGAGTGAGTATGGTTTTACGCCGCTTTTAGCAATATTCCAGCAATATCACGGTGGGGGACACCGGAAATGGGCTTCACACATTGTACCCATGTCGGGAATAGAACCCGGGTCTTTGGCATGACGAGCGAAAGCTTTAACCACTAGGCTACCCGACCGCCCCAAAGGAAATGTAGGCAAGAGCGACCGAGGCAAGAGCGTCCACTGGTCTTGTTTCCACCCTTGCCACATCCAGCCCACTTTCCTGAGCTAAATATGATTGGACTATCGCACATATCAGTAGTCCAATCAGAGAACGTTTAACAAAATCAACATCCATGACTAGTACACCTTCGTATGAAACTGATTTACCGCTGCCTGTCTTTGTTGTCAAATCTCTTTCATCTTTTACACCCTCCAATGATTACCTATGTTTTTGTGTCAGAGATGAAATCGCAAATATATTCGGTATCTGATCGACTGGGTTGTTGCTATGGTAGTCATCATCTTTGTGAAGCTATACGAGATATAAACAGTGATCTGATTGGATAACACATTTTCATTACAAGGGGCACAACTCATGATCTATGCGAGGTGGCGCCAGGGTCGAGCCAAGAAAAGTGGCCTTGATGTGGCAAGGGTAGAAACTAGGCTTTGATTTAGGCTAATGGACACACTTGCCGCGGGAAGATGGACTAAACCAGGTGGCACTCATACGTATATGTAACTATTAACTATACTGGCAGTCGTATATCCTATAGTTATGGCAGATTTAATTCTAGATATTGTATTTAGGTCACCAACATTAATACTGGTCTTAATCTGACACGCTTTAGTCTTAAAACTAAATCTGACACACTTCCACAAACAGTACCACTGCCAGTGTGACTGCATGACTGCATGACATATTATATATAATATAATCCGGGTGAATATACAAATAAATAACAAATTTGATTTTTCAATATCAGGTATCACTAGTGCATGTTTTATATAGTTAAATCAAACAGTAACACACCATCATGAATACTCTCACATACCAAAGACAAACAGAAACCTTGCCCCCTAGGATTTGACTGAAATGTCTATTATTTGTTTATTTGTTGTTTAATGCTGCACTCAGCAATATTCCAGCTGGAGTCTGGACCAGACAATCCAGTGACTGACATGAGAATCTGTCCACGCAATTGGGACACAATGACATGCATCAACCAAGTCAGCAAGTCTGACCACCCGATCCCGTTAGTCGCCTTTTACGCCAAGCATGGGTTGCTGAAGACCTATTCTATCCTGGGCCTTCATGGGTCTTTTCTAAGGTAATAGACACATATATAAATACTATATGCTCTTTTTTGCCATTTTTTCACAACAGTTTAACACATAACACACCAAAATTCAATTATTGCGGTGCACCATAATTGTTATGTACAAGTTAAACTGCACACACATTTCCCCCACAGTGACTTCTCTTTCTCTTCAAGTAATGTAACAATGTGCGAACAAACTTTAAACGGCATCCTACGCAACAGACCTTTTATAAACATATCAAAACATCATAAAAATATACAGCCACCTGAATCCAAAGGAATGAAGCCATATGTTACAAAGGTCAAAATGTCTTGATCAATATATTCAGTAGGATCCATGAATTATGGAGGGCCTAGACAGAATGCTGGCAGCCATCAGTGTGTATCTCATTCCTAAGTTTAATATTATAGTGATGAGTCCATATTTCCCAGCCCATCTGGTAATATCCACGGTGCCATTGTACACAGTGATCTTAGCGCTAAGGTGGTCGTAACTTCCATACCTTAACATAGACTTGGGACAGTCGTAGTGCTAAGGTTGTTTTGAACAGCAGCACCCAGCCAATGATGAGAACAAGTTATGGGGTTTTTGTTGTTTGAAGTTTTGAGAAGGTTGACAAATGGAGAACCTCACCAGCCATGCAGTTATCAAGTATCAAGTATATCAACACCACTTCATAAAAGTTTGAACTTCCAAGGCTTGTTGAGGAGTTTTAAACCTTTATGGCCAAGTGTTGATATATTTGATCTCAAAAGTCACGAAAGTAAGATTCTATTTATCATACAAAGTCATGCTTCCTATTTTTTAAGTTTGTAAACAGTAAAGACCAATGTCTTTTTGCAATAAGTACAGTTAACCAGCTTCAGTGGCAAAGGTGATGTCATTTGATTGTGAGTCACACTAACCAATGATGTCACAATGGTCTGCAAAGCATCATGATGCAATTCATTGTAGCGATATCTCCCAGGCGATATTGCTTGGTCTCACACAAGAATGATCTCCTGTGGAAACCAGATTTGGATGATAACGTTACCAAACCTAAAGACACATACCGTAGAACTAACAGAAGCTTCAACTCAATAATCTTACACCCTCTGTACATTGCATTACACGTTCATATAGAAATATCTCATGAGGCCACAACTTTAAAATTTTATGTTTCGTGCATTTATTCCAGCTTTTCCATACAAGGTAGGTAGAAATAAAATTAAAATAAATAGTTATGTCAATTATTTATTTATTTATATGAAGGTCATTCTGCCGTGGAGTAAACCCTGCAGCTGGCTTCTTGAATCACTGATAGTGATGGAGACATGGTATTTATACAGAGCTCCAGATAAGCTGCGTATCTGCGTAAAATACGCATCATAAATGCAGAAATACGCAGTAAAATAAAATCCAAGCGTATCAAATACGCAACGAACATTACAGATACGCTACAAAACTTGTGCGTATCATCAAAATATTGTGAAGTAACCCTGCGTATTCGATTAGCAAATCAGCAACTTATTATGAAATTATAAACGAGCATTCTGTCAACCTTGCCAAACTCCACGATGACAGTTACATCATGATCATTTTCCATCACACTTTCTTGTGGAAGTATCGTGGTATTTTTGAGTCCTATAAAGCTCTCGAACCCACACGTCACCAGTTTGCAGGGACTAGATGAATAGTGTTTTTAAATATTTAACTTAAATACCCACATGTGTAAAAATTAGGGGGTAACAGAAATTTGAATACCCAGATAGAATTACTGATACCCAATGATTTTCAAATGCATGGGTAAAATACCCACAACACCAAAAGCTTATCTGGAGCTCTGTTATATATAACAATTTCTATTGTTTAAGAGCATCTATGTTACTAGCGGAAGACACAAGAAATTAATATTTTTATGTTTAATTCATTTCTTTTCCAGCTGCTTTACAGTAGGGGCGGCAGGCTTATGAAAACGAAAAATAAAACTTGTGTGGCCTAAAGGTACAGATGACAATTTCCAGTGCTCAAACTATCCAAAGGTCTCCCATGTCAGAATTGAGGCAACACATCTATCAGTTCATTCTCTGGGCAACTAGTTTTCTGCAATGATAGTAGACACAATCATGACACAGTTTATCCTCACTGTGCCAGCTGCTTGTGGGGGGGATTATCGGACAGTGCTTGCAAGCATGTTTGAGGGTGGTGTGAAAGGTATTATACTCGTTAATCTGTAAGGGACTGTCCGTGAACTGTTCTCGTTGGGGATAGCAGATGAATTTGAGACTCGAAGTGTGTTCACTCAATTAACAACTAAATTATTGCTTTCTTGTTGGTTTGTTGTTTAACGCCGCACTCAGCAATATTCCAGCTATATGATGGCCGGCTGTAAATAATCGAGTCTGGACCAGACATTCCAGTTGATGCATCAACCAAGACAGCAAGCTTGACCACCCGATCCAATTAGTTGCCTCTAATGACAAGCATTGACACGTCTTACTGCAAGCATGGATTGCTGAAGACCTAACCAGTATCTTTACAGGACTAGTATCAATGCAAAAACTTATATACATATTAAAAAAAAATCAATGGATATTTTACATATATTGTATGGATGAGCTGTATGTAAATAAATACCAAAAATATCAACATCTTTTTCCCAGTGTTACACAGTATATATCTATGTCCATATCTATATCTTGAGACGACTCCTGCAGTCTACTATTGTCTAAGAACTAAGTATGCCAGTCTGCACCAATAGTCCAGAACAACGGGTGCCAACACAGTGAGGAGACTCACATGACACAGAAGTGTTGACAATACTTGATGACATTCAGTATTTGTTTGCATCTCACCTTTCGTCTGACATCAGGCAGAAACAACCACAGTGGGAACACAATGGGCGCCAGGAAAATGTAGGTGCAACGTTTACGACAAGTGCTTGGCCAGCTCATGTCAAGTGGCTCTTCTTCCTCCTCCCATCCTGGGGTCTGTAAGAGCAGATAACTCTGAATCATCATAATGTACAAGGGAGAAAACTCTAACAAAGGAAACATAACTCTGTACTGATTATACTAAGCTTACCAACAGTTCTCTTCAAATGTTAATCTAATATTTATAAAAGTAAACAAGGAGGGTAGGAACTGACCATCTAATATTCGGAATGGGGTGGAAGGGGGAACATGATTTTTGTTTAGTAAAACAATTCTCAGCAACCTCTAGTCTGTCTTACAGACCCTGATTCTGATATATATCAAACACAGACCGTGCAAGTCTATAATGTTTGGCAAGTCTAGATTACAGCAGTATCTGAAAATGAAGAGAGTCTCTGGGCTCCCTCTTATTATATTTTTACTAAGATAATTGAACAACTATTTTTTTCTGTACGATATGTACACTTCAGAGACTAGATGTTAGTCTTGGTAACCTCCAGCACGTCCAATATTTCTGTTTATATATATTGTATTAAATCCAGCCCCAGCCCCTAGAATATGAAATGGTGGTCAGTCCATGGTAACAATGTAGCAGGTATCTTACCTCCGATTTTGAATCATTACTACTTTGTGCCTCATCTTCGCCTTCCTGTTTTCCATCAACAGCAACGTTGACATCTCGTCTTGTCACTTTACCATTCTGATCTGGTTCCTGGTCCACCATTGTTAAGGCAGTTTCCTGACTCACAGAAGGGCTACCTTTTCTTAATGACCCTGTAGACTCGTAAGCAGGTGACACCTTGCCATTTGAGATGACATTAACTTGCATATTGTTGTCCTGGTCCACATTGCCGTTCTGCTTGGCACCTTCTTTGGAATCCATGTTGATCATAAGCTGTAGGCTAGCCATTGCATGCAGAGCCACTGCTTTGTCTTGTACTTTCTCTGCAAACAAAGATGGATGTGGTTTCACAACTGGGACAGGGAGGGGGGAGGGGGGAATCGAACAAGTGTTTTCAGCGTGACGAGCGACCGCTTTAGCCACTTGTACTTCATATACATATACCTTAAGGTTTGCGTTGCTGTGAAAGGGACCCGTGAAGATCCGGGTTAGAATAGGTTATAAAAGCGACTATGCTTGTCGTAAGAGGCAACTAACAGGATCAGGTGGTCAGACTCGCTGACTTGGCTGATGCATGACAACTTATCCCAGTTGGTTCGATGCTCATGATGAGAATCACTGGATTGTCTGGTATATAGCTGGAATATTGCTGAGTGCGGCGTTAAACAACAAACAGACAGAGACATCTTCTAGCTCCAAGTTTATACAATGTTTTAGTTTCATGCATAGAATGCTTGTCAGTATAATTATTCCTCTCCGGACACAACCAATGGGTTGACAGAGATCCACACATTCTGAACACCCATCCCAATCATACGCCTATGACAATCACAGAGAGTATGTGAAAATCAAGAAATCTAATACCCCTGCCTTTGCCCTCGGCTCCATAGAACGCTCCTGTTTACACCGGCTGCCTGTCATAGTCCATTAGACAACAGGTCAATTTCGGCCAGATTTTTCAAGGAAATACAAGACATTTGTGATGCCAAAGTTTCTCTTATACTTGCTTTGAACCAGGGCCCTGTTCCACAAACTGATCTTTGCACTGAGACGATCGTAACTCCCATACGTTGACATAAACTTACGACAATCGTAACGCTAAGGTAACTTTGTGGCAAGGGATCCAGATCTGTTTGTTTATAGTCTTATGGTCCTGTTGGTGTCAAACCCCGGTAAAGGTGAGATACTCTGGAGTGCTGACCACCTGTTACTGACCTGCTGACAGTTTAATTACAAAACAAGATCCTTCACAATGGGGACACTATTGCACTGGAGTAGTCAGCAGTCAGCTCCCATATCTTATTTAATTGACACAGTGAAATAAATGTAACAACTTAATATGAAAATAAAAGAAGACACTAAATTGATTAATTCATTTACATCATCTAAATTTCCCATTTGGTACTATTTCCCTGGAGACAAATCCTCCATGCCACGGTTCTAAAAAGACAAATTCCACACACACATTTTTGACAATAAAATATGATGTGCAAATAATAATTTTGAAGATGCCTAACCATTATTTTGGATGATGGAAAACCTATTCTTTCACATCTTCTTGTTGATTTAAACCAACAGCTTCTCCTTCATATTGACAACACTACTAAAATCCAGTATCTTCCTGAGCATTAAGATAATCATCTTAATGATAAGGAAATTATTAGAGGTCTTTTCATGCATTTCCATCTTTCACAAATAAATTAACGACCTTGCTGATGAGGTTATCTACTATTCCTAATTACAGGTCCAGAGTATGTTCCTCTGATTGGCAGTCTGAATGCTGCAGTAATTCCTTGAATTTCAGGTAATAATTGCTATTCTCTAGGCATACATTAGAGCACATTGTCAGTCTCAAGGTTCTCAGCACGATCCTCATCAGTCCGGCTTAGTGTACTGGCTGACGTCTCCAGATTGCAATTCATTAACGTGTCAATAAAGATTTCCACAAGAACCTCTTTTGATTATACAATTGGTTGCCTGTGCTTGCTCAGAAGTTGTTTGATCAGGGATACAACATTCAAGGCCACTGTAAAGCTTTCAAAATGTTTTATGGTAGACATGTGAAGGACATTTCCAATTTTGACAAATCAGTGACAAAAATATTTCCGATGCAATTCCCTATTTTGACTTGTACCATATGTTTTCAGGTGAACAATTGACTTGCCTTTGCATGTGTTTGTGATAGGTGACACCGGTGAGCCAGGATACGCTCACCTTTTCGCGAACACCTGGTTTTCTCATTATTTAATAGTGATTCATAAACACATGCTTATGATATAGTCGGAATAGTACAATTGACTCTGCTTTTTCTCAGAGATTTCTTATGATTATGGAACAGGTTTTGTCACTTTTATTCAGATTAAGTCATCAGAACACTCCCATACACAACAGTTTGAGCCAGGCAGTGATAACAAAATCATACCAGCAGACATCCGTAGGGTTCCCAAACAACACAGTACATCGAGCCACAGATAGGTGGGTGGACATTAAAAAACTAATGACTGTGAGACCAAGCAGAGAAGACCCCAATGCACCGTTACAGATCTGTCAAACGAGCACTGCGTGTTAATCTTCATTTGGTTTATGATATTGAATATCTGCATGGACGGTAATAAGATCCATCTGGTGATCGGGTGACTGTGGAGGACAAGATTATATAGTGGCGAGGGAGATGGGCCCCCTGATGGGCAATGGGAGCAGTGAGTCTAATACGTGAACGAGGCAAAGTATGGCATTTATTTACAAAAGGAATTTCTTATTGTGTTGGTTTACTGGAAGATGAACGCTTTGAACCGTGTGAGTTAAAATCATGTAAAAACGCCGGAACTGACAAATAAGTTGGCTTCACACATTGTACCAATGTGGAGGATTGGACCCGTGTCTTCGGCCTGACGAGCAAACGCTTTAACCAGTAGGCTACCCTACTGTCCTGGCATCGAGAGGGTTAATGTAAATAAGTGATTTAATGAAACCTTGTGTGAAAAAAAAAGAGTTTTTTTATTGCCCAATGTTGCCGATCCTCAAAATCGTGGTAAGCTGGGAAGACAACAGAGAAATGTTCAACCTGGGCATTCCCAATTAAAAGTAGTTCCGATAAAAAAAATGTGTAAAAGTTTATACTTTGTAAACGTCACTCTTTGAAGTTTGTTGAAAAATGAATGGGTCGTGTGAGCAGCAAAGGAACCAATCACATCACCGAAATCCCTTACACTTACAAATAAGAATTAATGATATTTTAAGAAGATGAATCTATTGAACATGTAAGGATAAGAATTTATGGATGAACAACTTCTTTATTACAATTAAGAGCGACATTTCGGTGTAGGTTCTAACATCGTTTTCAAGCAAGTGATACCGAAATGTCGCTCTTACTTGCAATAAAGAAGTTGTTCATCCATAAATTCTTATCCTTACTTAGTACTCCAACTTCTAAATGCCTTTCAAAGAAGCTATTGAATATGCACAGTTTACCAGTAAACAATGACATGTATGGGATTACACCACGTTTTAACGAAACCCGTGGAATGGCAAAGGTCATCACAGATTATGCTGAGTCACAAGTACACATTTACCAGCTAAAGGGATCCCTACCCACTTTTGAGACAACATAGAGGGGGGAGGCAGAATATGAATCTATTGAATATGCACAGTTTACCAGTACCAGGCACCACAAACAGCTTGCAAACTAGCATGGTTGGAACCATTAAGGGTTAAACAAATTCATCGTATCAAATATAATTCTGTGTTGTGGTTTGCTGTGTTCACAAAGTTTGACGGGTGATCAATCAAACCATACAGGCCACTTACAACTGTACCCTAACATTCAGCATTCAGGTACGCAGCTATTTGGCCTTTCACACCCAATGGGATTTGTTTCGGCAGACAATCGAGACTGATTACTCTTTGGTGTTGACGTTTTATATTTCTCAATAAATTCATCAATCTTAAAAAATCAGACCTTAGTTCTCGCTACCGCTAAACAAAGATCTGAAGACATCCCATTAGGGGTCATGTCAGAACGACCTTTCATCCGACCAATCAGAGCATCACTTACCAGATCATGAAAGTGACAGTCAGAATGTGATTTCCAATCATGCAACCTCGAAAACTTTAACACGGGGTATTCCAAACGATAGTTACAGGTTTAACAACTGAATCCATATGATCTAGACCATCTATTACCCATTCCAGAATGTTCTTTTGTTTAGGTTTCAAATTTGTAATCGAGAATTTGTCAAAATATGTTTTGAAGCGTAGTCGCCAATTTGAAATTAGTGCCGTAAAGCACAAGAAACCTAACTTCTGATTGGTCATTCCATTGGTCGATCAAAGTTTGCGCAAGGTCAGTCTGACGTGACCCGTAATGGGATGTCCTCAGATCTTTGTTTAGTGGTAGCGAGAACTAAGATCTGATTTTAATGAGATTGTAAATTCATATGATCAAAGTTAATTTTGTCGTTGTGTAATGATATGATGAAATCTGTAATTAATATTTCTTACACAGCCATGCATAGTGAAACATGCAAACTCAACTCATTGAATGTCTTTTATGTATTGTGCTGTGTTTTTCGCAAACAGATTTGAAATTCGGAGCTCTACCTATCTTGGGGAGACCCAAGTTTCCCCGAACTGCCAAGATATCCCCTGACAACCGACCAGGAATCAAGCATCCACCGACAACAGACCATCACTCACGCTTGCCTCAGAACATAACCTGCATCCAGTCAGGAGCAAATGACTTCCATTGATCCTGTAAATCTCTCAGTTAAAACTTTCGCACAAGTAGGATCCATATCAATATATCTTAACAACTGTAGTTTCAACCTTGACTCGTTCAATATAAAGTTTCATAACACCCCACCCAGGGGCATTGACACTGTGGCAGTTGGAGCCCTTCTCCAGGCCAGGATCAATGAATACAGCTGTATCTACATGTATGCCGAGACAGCAATAGAGGGAGGCTGGATTATCTGTAGAGCTTATATACATAGATATAATGGTGGCCTTCCTGGCCTATAAGTCAATGACCTTTGGGAACTTAATGCTTTTTCTTCGATGAGTTTGTATAATAGTTTTAATTTATACATTTTTACGGTAAATCTCAGTTTTGAATAAGTTCTTGTTAACTAATATTTCTGGAGAAGAAAACAAATTAATAATCATATACTCTCATACTGATAACTTGGCATATCAAAACTATGCGTAAAATCAATAGCAAACAAAGGTCAAACTATCCATGCACTGCAGTAGTTGGTTGATGCCAAAATATTGATGACAAGTCAGAATAGCTGACATCGATGCCATGATAAACTGAAAGATGATATTGATAGACTAATACAGTGATTATATACTCTTCTCATATTTCTTTCAAAATAAACCTTGTTATAACAGACATGTGAGTATTCATTTAGAATTAGACAATAATCAGAGATACTGTCCTCATTTCACCAACAACTGCAGAATGATAATGAATAATAAGTTCTGATATTTTTCAAAACATGGTTAACAAATCTGTGTATTCGCAAAAAACAAAATGTAAAAATCAACAACAGAGATTTACCCCTCTGACCAGAAAAAAAAGTTAAATGTTTAAAAAAACCATTTACTGTCGTTATCAGTATAAATTATTTGAAATACTATAATGAAAACCTGTTGAAAATTTATATTAAACTCTACCACCCCAACTTTATTTTGTAAATAATATTTTTCCCACCTTATTAACATTGAGGAAATACCAAAATATATTTGATATTGGAATTTTCTATTTAATTTTTTTTTTACCTACCAATCTGAATTTGTGGGCCAAAAATCAGTATACCAATAGTTGTAAAATGTCTGGCTTAAAAGGGAGTCCATTGCAACAGTTATATCACATTCAGAAGTTCAACAGGCCCGACTTTTTTAAATCTTAATTCACAGATGTTTTGTTGTACTCATCAGAAGTTGGACAAAACTAAATAAAAACATTTAAATTAATATTTTTTTGTTCCTTAAAAAATATGGAAATGTTTCCATGTATGCAGTGTCAGATATGTGAAGCTTGTCTTGTGATGTTACCTATTTGAGTTAAAGCTATCATGTACAACTTGTCTGTGGTGAACAAATGTTTCACAACTAGGTTTGCTTTCAGACTGGAAGAATTGGGCTTTACATACATATTTTTTCACTTTTCATCTCTTATGGTCCTTGGTAAAGCAATTTCTTTTAAATGGTTGATCAAGGGATTCTGGCTTAGTATAATTCCCTATCAACCTATGCTGGTCGCGAGAAGAGACTTAACGTACAAGATTGTCAGGCTTGGTGACTTGGTTGGATCATTGCTCACAATATCAGTCACTGGATTGTATGGCCCAGACTTGATTATTTACAGGACACAGACAAATAGTTAAAACAAAGCTGAGTGTGGCATTAGATTTTGTTAAAAAAATACAAACGTCCATCTTCAAGATAAATGAAAGCCTTACCAGGTCCGAGAGGGTCAATTGTATGAATCATCAGTTGCAGGACGCCATGGCGGAAGCGACTGCTTCCTGCATGAAGAATCGGCAAACTGCATCGCCGCTCACCTTTCTGTAAAGCAAACAAACAGGGCATACAGTCAGCGAGTGAGTGAATTTGAAATATCATCTTTTCCAGGTCTCCTGTCACAGGACAGGGTGTGACACAGTGTCACAGTGAATGAGTGAGTAAGTAGTGTCTTACGCACTTTTAGCAATATTCCAGCAATATCTCGGCAGGGGACACCAGAAATGGGCTTCACACATTGTCCATGTGGGGAATCAAACCCGGGTCTTTGGCATGACGAGTGAACACTTTAACCACTAAACTACCCCACCGCCCCTCAGGATAGGTTGAAGTGATCCAGGTTCCTGATATTGATATCCATAAAACATGACACTGCCCTCCTGAATGGTCAATAACTGATAATCATGCAAGGCTGTACACAGCTGGTTGAGATTACAATCCAAAACAATAAGTCAATAAACATGTGGACAATTATATATATACCGTATTCAATGTAATAAGTGCCCACGATGCTCTCAAAATTAAAAATAGGGGGCTCTTATTAGAACATTATTTTGGTGAAAAAAACAGTTGAAAGATCATGAATTTCGTGGTTTATGCTGACAGCCTGAAATGTTTATATATGACAGATATATTTTTCCAGAATTTAATTGCCCATAATTAAGGGTGCATATAACACACGAGTGCATATTATACACAAATAAATAAGTCTGTTTACATTGATCAATCGGAAGGGGTGCTAATTGGGATTGTTCACTGGCCAATATATAAGCAAATATCGCCGTGGGCGCTTATTACGTTGAATACAGTATATATATTTTGATACATTGGGATATTTAAAAAGAGAGGCTGAGAGATCTGACTATGAAAAGATGGATCGGGTACATCCTCCAAACATCTGACATCAATGTTTCCAATTGTTTTGCAGGAGAGATTGGCATACAGATTGTATTCTTCACTACAACCTTCAGAGGCAGCGGCCATATTTTAAAAAAACCAAATCTACTTAGCTGTGTCCCTGGACATGAAGAACATTGATATGTTCAGTTGTCATGAAGAGGAAGATGAAGACGAAAACTCATGACATAAGCACAAGTTGATGTTTGTTTGTTTGTTTGTTTGTTGTTTAACGCTGCACTCAGCAATATTCCAGCTATATGACGGCGGTCTGTAAATAATCGAGTCTGGACCAGACAATCCAGTGATTGATGTCATGAGCATCAATCCATGCAAATGGAATACGATGACATGCATCAACCAAGTCAGCGAGCCTGATCACCCGATCCCGTTAGTCACCTCTCACGACAAGCATAATCGCCTTTTACGGCAAGCATGGTTTGCTAAAGACCTATTCTACCCCAGATCTTCACGGGTCATGATAATAAGACAGTGTCAAGGGAACTAAAATGAATAGTAATTGTCATGGACAGATGGACAATGGATGGAAATCCATTACACAAGGTCACTTGGACAATGTGAAGGTGAGCCAATAAAACTGATGGAATATTCATTAATAGAAATAACAGGCGTTCAAAATATCAGCCAAGTAATGGAGTAATTTTAATAAGCATAATCATTTTCAGTTTCCGGAAATCATTAAAAAAATATATATATATTATACTGACATGATGGCAGAAATTCAAAATATATTATGGCCATCTGAACCTGAGTTTCCAGGAAGTCCTTTTCAGCCTGTTTGATTTCCAGGTCCTACTGAAGGAAGTGTTACACATATCTCTGTAATATAATCAGAGATAATCCAGAATTCCTTGCTATCTCACAGCTGATGTTTGCGCAGTATCAGTCTTGGTTTCTATGGCAACAATGAACAATGCTTATTAGGGGTGTAGTGTGATTGATGTAGGTATCAATGTATTGCAGTTATCCTTGGCCAAATGGCAATACACCAATAACCCATAAACCATATGTATGACAGTTGCCACGAGTTGAGCTACCATCACGTGTTAATTGTGTAAATGAAAATAATGAAAATCGGCACCTCTAGTAATATATGGTCAAGAAAGCACTGTACTATTTGTTTCCATCCAATGTCAGTCTTGATACTCCTGGGGCAGTCCGGTAGCCTAGTGGTTAAAGCTTTCGCTTGTCATACCAAAGACCTGGGTTTGATTCCCCACATGGGTAAAATGTGTGAAGCCCATTTCTGTCCACTGCCGTGATATCGCTGGAATATTGCTAAAAGCGGCGTAAAACCATACTCACTCACTCACTCTTGATACTCCCATAATTTCCAAACCACTGGGTACCTATCAACCGTAGATAACCCATATATGCCTTGCAGAAAGGGGAGGCCATATACATCAACCTAAATTTACAACTATTACAATTATCACAACCAATATTTCAACCACTGCAACAATTACAATGCTCCAGAGGGGGCACAGGGTGCCCAGTCGTCTAAAGCGCCGTGATTCGATGTGCAGAGTTGTGTCCCTTGGGCACGCCAGAAACCTATAATAGTGGGTTCGAATCCTCGTTCACCCCAATTATGTTTCTAGGTTTGTTAGCACCATACCTGTGCTCGTGGGATTCACCGAAGTGGTAAACGTCTGAGACCTGCATCACTTCAGGCTTTCCTCTCACATTAAGCTGACACGCCGTGATATAACTGGACTACTGTTAAAAGCGGTGTTACACCCAACTCACTCACTACAATGCTCCAGAAAGATTCCTAATACACCCTTAAAGCATCTTATTATCAGTCTGCTTGTGTTCAACAATAACAAACAAAAACTGTGAACGTTTCCTTACTAACACCCCAACATCTGTGTACATGGCATCTTCCCAAGGCAAGGGAGTTAACTGACCATAAAAGTCCAGTTTTCACCCTAGCCAAAATAGGCTGGACTATAGGTTTACGCATAGTCCAATCAAAATCGCGTAAACAAAATCGACACCGGGTTCGTAAACTGCCGTGCAGATTTCGGTCGGATTTGCAAAGCATGTGCACCAATAATTTAGTGTCCCCATATATATTCCAAATCTTTTCACGTTTTCATCAAGGTGCTCACGTGATTTGATGCACTTCACGAAGTAAGACCCGTTTTGTTACAATAAAGATCTTGATTATCGATCAGATCGTCTTGACTGGGCGCCACCATTTTGTTGGAAGCAAATGAAAGTGATATGAGAAGTGGAATCTGATTGGTCAATAGGAGGGACATAGAAGGAACATAACTTGTAATAGCCACTGATGTTGCAACGATCGAGCCCAGAAATACCAGTCTAGTTCAGCAAGGGTGAAACTGGACTTTTACAGTCAGTTAACTCCCTTGCATCAGGAAGAGTGAGTGAGTGAGTGAGTATGGTTTTACGCCGCTTTTAGCAATATTCCAGCAATATCACGGTGGGGACACCAGAAATGGGCTTCACACATTGTACCCATGTTGGGAATCGAACCCAGGTCTTCAGCATGACGAGCGAACGCTTTAACCACTAGGCTACCTGCATTGGGAAGATATGTACACGGTAGAGATGACCTTTGGTCACAATTATCTGTTGCCTCTCTGACATTAGGACCGCCATTTTCCCATTAAAGCATTTTCGCTTTTAGCAGAGAGGTTGACATGAAGTAATTGTATCACATGCATCAAAGCCCAGACATATAGGTGCATTTAAACTACCTCATTCCTTCCCAATCAAGCAGCATCCGTCTATACCAAACCCTTGTTTAACTCCCCAATTGCAACCAATTTCATTTGCAATTTGTAGAGCTTCATGCCATCGATTGTCCAACTACCTGTGGGTGGGAATACGGAGCACTCATGGCAGCACTGAAAACAATGGTATTTTCTACCAAGGCTGGTTGCATTATTTAAAGTCTTTTTATCGATGATTTCGGCCTTACCAGGCAGCAACTGAGACTCTTTTTTGCTGTCATGGCAATTTCAAGCCTTTGCCAAACAACTCAATATGAAAGACAAAAAAACTTTCTTTGAACTACTGGGAGGCATGTCAATATTATAATGATGTAATATTGAACATTATGTTTACGGAGCACCTCACGGTGTCATATCATGCCACTGATCAATAGTTCTGGAGAAATTAATATGTTTTCTAGATAAATAATTGTTGCTGCCTGGCATGAAATGAAGTCCCTAATTGTGCCACCATGAAAATACTTCCCGATTGGCAGAAGCTTGGATGGACCGCCTCCGTGGTCTAATGGTAGAGCGTCTGAGCGGAGAGCGGAAGGTCCGGGGTTCGATCCCCGGCCGCGTCATGTCAAAAGATGTTAAAAGATGGTACTTGTTGTTACCCTGTCTGGCGCTCGGCATTAAGGGGCTAAAACAAGGACTGGTCGGCTCGGAGTCAGTATACTGTGTCTGAGTTGGGTATTCATGTTAAACTGCTGCATGGTATCTCAGTGAGCTGGCACTATAAAGCGGCATCATTCCGGACTAGTACAAGCAGCCACACACACACACACGTGCATGTACGTTGCTATATAAGTGCAATAATCTTGGACACGACGTTAAACTTCATTTCACCTCACCAGAAGCTTAGATCTTGGCCTTTTACATGGAACAGCAATACCCTGCTTTTTCTCGGCCAGAGATTAGTTAAATTAAGACTGACTTCAACATTTTTTATAAATGTATAAACGTAAAAAAGGTGTGTACACGAAGTGAGCACACTGTTTTTCACATTTATAACTCCATAAACATTTTGAAGTCAATTATTACACCGTTAACACATAAACACTGGAGACAACAATACAAAATCATTCAGTGCAATAAAGCAGCACAAGTCCCGTCCCGCTTGAGGACCTGGCCTAAATGTCTTATAGTTTATGCCACATATACTGTTACACAGTCTTGGTTAGCTAATCAAATGCCACAGAATCATTTGTAATTTATTAATTCGATTGCCACAAAAATTTGATAATGAAATATGATTTTAAAAATAAAAAATTAACCAAAAATGAGAAACTAAAGAAATGAAGAACCTTTTAAAAGTGTCCAGAGCAATTGTTGTGAGTATTCAATTAATGTTGCAAAGTGAAAATAAAAAATATAATAAAA